GTAAAGAAACCACACAGCTGCCCAAGTTAAAATGAATCAATCAATCGATCGATAAATAAATAAGAGTTAATTCTTTGGGATCCCTATCAGAAGCTCTGACCAGCTCTGAGGTATAAAGGCCTCACGTACCCTGATCATCAGCACAGCCTTTCTGATGTCCCGGACACCATCATACACCAGGCGAGAGGCATCGATGAACTCATTCTCCTCAAATGGTTGAGGGACGTTGGCACTCAGGGCTTCAATGGCAACCTCTACTTGTTCAGCAAAGCGTGGCATCACTGGGTTGAACAAAATGAAAAGCAGTGGATTAGGCAATTTTTGTTTCACTACCTCTCATTCCAGCTTTTGGGTAAGGCAACATTCTCTTGGACATTCCAACAGTCCCATGGAGCAGGCTGCTCATCAGTCCAGTTGGGGGTAAGCCCAATTTAGTGGTCTTTGTGCTCCTTACCTTAGCAGGAGGAGCGAACTGTTACCCCACGCATGGTGACAGTTTGCAAAAGAGAAAAATTTTGAAATCTGCCAAAAGTAGTGCAGTGCAGTGTATGAGTATAGATTTCACGTTATCCTGAGTTGAGTTCCACTTCTGCTAGGTATCAGTTGTGAACCTTTCGCCAAGTTTTCTTAACCCTTCTGCACTTGTTTCTTTGTCCATAAACTTTAATAAGATTTTACCTAAATTCAGTGGGATAATACATACAAAAATATTGGATGAAATCTGGCCCTTTGAAGTACCAATAAATATTTAACTAATACTAGATGTTATAGTCATAGCTGGTGAGAAGCAAACCTTAACCCACATGGCTTCACTATAAATGTGAATGAAGTGATCCAGTCCATTTCGCTTTGGTCAGGAATACAGGATTTGAGATTTGGGGACAGGGGTGAGGTGGGGTTGGGATGGAGGGAAACTGTGGAAGGACTAAGAGGAAAAACACTCCAGCAAAAAGGGCTATGAAAAGAGAAGACCAGTGGGCTCAAAGATAAATTGTCCCATTTCACCAGTATCATTTTGATACAAAAGAAAATGCATATGTAAGTTTCTAAAATGCTGACATCTCTTTCTTTTCACAGGGACACCTGCACACACCCTGGAGGTTTGTGGAAAGTAAACTCAATGGGATGTCTGGAATACCTCCACTGACTACTTTAAAAATACTGCTGATTCACTGATTCTCAAAAATTATAATTTAATTTTCTCAGCTGTTATCTTGTAACAATCAATTCACACAGCAAATAAAAGCCAAAAGCACAATTCCTTTTATTTACAAGGATGATAAAATAGAAACATCATTAATGTATTTCCATTTCTGAACGTTCATGCCTGATTCATCTTTATACTCGATTTCATCCTCTGTGGATACTTTACCTTCCATTTGAATCCCTGTGTGAAAAAGT